TCATATCTTGTGGTTATCTGTCAGGATTTTTAAATATCACAGGACAGAAATTGAAAATTAGGAATAGGTAAGAAACTAGGGTGGAATATTTTTATGCATAGGATAATAGATTTTTGGAATAAATCACCAGGGAAGATCACTGATATGGATTGTTCAAGCAGGTAGATGCATTGTTTGAGTAAGAAGGGATTGAGGGACATAGTGAGAAGGTAGAGATGAGACCAATTATAGAAAGAAACTCAATTGTCAGGCCAAATGGAGTTTTCATGTCCCTTAAAAAATCCTATGTCCCTTTAGGATTTTACGTCTATAATTAGAGCTTAATTTATATTTTTGAATCTTGTGGGAAATTAGATGGATAGTTTATAAATGGGTTGATAATGCTCTACTGCCTGAAATTCTTCCTCAGTTATATTTACTTGACTCCAACTCAATTTTGGGAGAAAATTTTATTAACATGCTTTTTCTTTTGGACTCTTCAATGATAGATGAGCATCATGAATCATTTTTGGTGCAATATAAATAAGGTTGGGTAAGGGATCACACAGAGTTGGACAGTTACATAGTGATTTGAGATAAAATATACGAACAATCCTTGCATTTGATACAGCAATTTATCACATCAAAAAGCATTTCAAAGAGTTTTCTATAAAGTGTAGTGATTGTAAGCAAATGCAGTGTCCCACAAATGTTGAGAAGGTGAATAATAATCATAATAATGATCAATTAACCAGACGATTCTAGGCCAGCACCCCAGCAAAATAGTGTCATTAACAATCTGCAGTGAATAGATGATACTATTATGAAGGCCTTTGGGATTTTAGTTATATCCCAGAGAAGAAGAGAAGAGAAGAACAGCCTCTTCTCGCTCATTGCACAACGTTGTTAGGTTTTAGTGGAACCCTCTTAAGCAATTAATTTCTCAAAAGTCTTTCAAGATACTTGTGTAATTTCTATCGACAACAACAACAAAATTACATTTGTATAGCTCCTTTCATGTCGGGAGGAAGTCCTTAGGCGCTGGACAGAGTTACGGACCCGAGCTGAGGGTTGGGGTGGGGGAGGGGGAGGGCAGGGGCGAAGCTGTGAGATCGAAAGCATGGTCGAAGAGGAGGGTCTTGAAGGTGACGAGGGAGGGAATGAGACGGAGGGACTGCGGAATGGAGTTCCAGAGGTTGGGGGCAGAGTGACGGAAGGCCCAGCTGCCGATAATGGGGCGAGCAAAGCGGGGGACGTGAAGCAGGCCAGAGCCCGCTGAGCGGAGGGAGCGAACAGGGTGGTAGGGTTTAGGAGGTTGGAGAAGTAGTGGGGAGCAAGACCGTGGAAGGCTTTGAAGGTGAGGACCAGGATCTTGAACTGTATCTCTGTGATGGAAAGCCAGTGCAGTTGGGCAAGGATGGGGGTGATAGGGTCGTGGAGCTTAGTATTATCCTGCAAAGCGTTATTATTGAATGTTCAAACCACAGAATTTCATTTTTGTTCACAATAATCAAAAAAGTATAAAGCATTGTAATATTATTCTTGTGAAAGTAAATGTGATGAGGGTTCAAGCACCAGAGGACATATGTTAAGAATAAGAACAGAAACCAGACAACACAATTTTTACACAAAGGTTAGTAAAGTGCCTGAAAAAGTTAACAGGCGGACCATTAAAGTAGACGGTATACAGTAAAGGGGTTCAAAAGGCAACTAGATATCTTTCTGGAAAGGGTTTGAGGGATATTGTGAGAGGCAAGTTTCTTAGGATAGTAAATATCCTATTGGGCCTATTGACCTTATCCAGTTCTAAATAAGATCATGTCTGTTACATAATTATATATGCTGGTAAACGTGATGAAGCAGAGATATCAAGAGAAGCAAGAGAAACGATATTATTTACTTTCTATAGCTTCCTGTTTATTCTGAGTTAAGTGTTGCCAATAAATCCACATTCTGACACATTTTCCCCAAGAAGCAGTGAATAGATGATACTATTATGAAGGCCTTTGGGATTTTAGTTATATCCCATTGGGAGCTTATAAGATAATTTCTGAATGATAAAGTCACAAGGAAGTCACGCTCAATGTCACTTTGTGGGATGTAAATCACACCCAATAGGTCTTGATAATCTAATGTTTTATAACACAATAAATGTTTATTCAGGTAAAAAAAAACTGGATACAGTTAATTAGATGAGGATGCTAAAGGGTTTTTATGATGGTCCTTAGGGGATTGATTCTGAGAGTATATAACTGACAATTATTTCACTTTTCCACTGAGGGTTTGGAATATTCAGTCCTTTATGCTTTATTCTGTTTTATTGGTCAGCCAGGCACCTAATATTGGCCTAGACCATTTAATCGTAAAAGAAGACATATTTTTAAGTACAGTACTTCAGAAAAGAGGTTTCCAAATTAGATTGAATTTCAGAATGTTCCAGAATCCTTTGCAATCTTAAATTTTAAAGCTACATGATTTTTTTTATATGTGTCTAATACTAGGTGGAAATTTGGACATCAGAGGAGACAATTGGGAGAATCATGTTCATTCTAGGAATGTTACCTGATGTTGATATCAGATTAGCTTCTTTGCACACTAAAATTGTTTTTGCCAAATGTTTAAACTTTAATCTCCAAACAAATTTGTAATTAAAGAATCGATTAAAATCGCTAAAAAGAAAAAAAAAAATGGAAATGCTAAAATCAAAACAGAAAATGCTGCAGGCAGTTCTTGGTATCTGGCACCCACATAATGAATCCTTGCATTTCTTTCAATCCTTGCATTTGATATAGCGCTTTTCACGTCGGGAGGGCGTCACAAAGCGCTTCACAGAACACACTGTAAAGTGAATTGACTGTATATTTGTGGGCGAACGTGACAGCCAATTGCGCACAGCAATGTCCCACAAAGAGTCATAGATTGAAAATGAAGGCTCAAACCTGCACTCCAAGGCGCCATCCAGCATGAAGGGTATTATGTAAATGCAAGTTGTTGTTATTGTACTTGTTGGATATCAAACAACTCCTGACTATCCTTAGAGGGGGCGGTGGCGGTGGGGGGGAAGTAGGCTGTCCTTAGACTGAACTACATTTGTTTCACTAAATATAAAGTATTGTGATACTTAGTACAAAGCATTGATTACTTAGGTCTTAGTCTAGCCACAAATATTTTATGCCAAGAAAACAATTACTGAATATTTCTGGTAATTTCAATGAAAACTTAATTGTTTCACTCCAGGCTGCTAAAAAAAAGGGCAAGATCATGTTTGCTTATTTGTAATTAATTTTTTGCACAAAAATCCACTCATTTTACACACCACAGCAGATGCTATTACAAATAACAAAATTTGTTCTTGAGGCAGATGTCAAATTCACTTATATCTAGCTCATCTGTCGTTCATCATTTATATTTTGTTATACAATGTCTCCACATTATGGTGCAGATGTCCACATTAAAATTCATCTGCCACTCTGACCGCTATGCTTAATTTACTGAAATCTATGTGAACGTTAAATACCCTCATACATTATTCACTTACAAAACGTCATCAAAAAGGTTAATGGAGTGTTGGCCTTTATCTCAAGGATGCTGGAATATAAAGGAGAGGAAATGATGCTTCAGCTGTATAGAGCCTTGGTCAGACCCCATCTGGAGTACTGCATTCAATTTGGGGCACCACACCTCAGGAAGGATATATTGGCTCTGGAGGGGGCTCTGGAGAAAATGCAGCGCAGATTCATCAGAATGATCCCAGGGCTAAAAGATTGAAAGATTAAAAATTGCTTCCTTTTGCTAAGATAATTTTGAATCAATCAAGACAAAAATGTTTAATAAATTATTAGAAACAAAGTTACCACATTTTGCTAAGGGTACATTTTGTCTGACCAACCGCAGTTTCTTTGAGGTGTAATTTCAAATTTCATGTGGGAAGCCATATTGCAAAGGTGTTGGACAAAGTATCCCATGGAAGACTCTTTCACAAACTTATGCCTGTAAATATTAAGGGAAATCCAGTTGTATGGATTTGGAATTGGCTGAAAGTAACAAAGCATAGTTGTCAGGGGAACTAGGTCAAAATGTGAGGGGTTTTTAGGCAGGTTACCCACCTGTTCATCTTATTTCCATTAATGACCTGGATTCACAAACCCAATGTAACACAATTCATTTTGCAGATAGCACCAAGTTGAGGTCAAGGGGAAAGGAGGTAGGGGAACTGTGGAACCAGAGTGGGCAGCAAAGAGCACACAAAGAGAACTTGATAAGGAATGCATATGGGCTGATATGTGGCAAATGAAGTTCAATACAGATGCTTCAAGGTACTACATATAGCAATGATTAGACAAGTTAGTTTTCTTCAATCTTGAAACATACATTTCAGAAGAGACCTTGTAGAGATACAAGATCTTAAATGGGATTGAGAAAGTAAACTCAGTACTTGCAGATGCAACCAAGACTGCAGAATAAGAGAACTGGTTTGAAAGTGCAAAGGGCAACTTCAAGGCAGGTACCAAAAAGTGTTAATTACCTGGAGGGTAATTAATGACTGCAGCAAATTTACAAGGTAGGGTAGTTAAGGTAAAACAATGGGTTAATTAAAAAAAACAATAATTATTCTGGAAGGATGAGATCAAATAAACTAAAGGGCCTTCTCCATCTAAACCTCTTTTCTGAAAAGTGCACAGATATATCAAAGAAGGTAGACAACAGACAAGTGACACAGGATGTCACTAGATTCAGTAAGAGCCAAGCCCTTCTAAACAGATAATGTTGTGATCAGCCATTATGCTGTTATCAGGCACTTTGCCATTACATACTGCTTCTCCCAGAATCTACAATGGATGAAGAGACAGTAATTTAAACACCTAGAAATGAGGGTGCAATGCTTTCAGATGCACCACACACGAGAGAAATTGTCACAAAGGAAAATGGTAAAGAGTAAAATGTGTTTATTAGACTTTTGCTAAGTCTAAAAGAAGNAAAAACATCCAACTGGCAAACATTTTTTTAACCTTTAGGTTTTTAAAAATGTTTCAGCTAGTTTTATATACAAAAGAACCATTTACGAAGTTTATTAGTTTACAAAATACAAAGGAATATTTTAAATTTTGGTACATAAGTGAACAAATTGAGAATACAGTGCTTTGAGAACTATTCTTATTGCTTGAAATCACAATCAAGGGAGTCGTCGGCATTTGATAAACCCAATGGAAATGTTCTTTGGCCTTGTTCTCGCACAGATCGTAGTTGACTGAGATGTTGTTTCATTTCCTCAGTTACATGATATATTCTTCCTTCCACATCAGGGACAGCAGCAACTGCAAGCGTATCATCTGTTTTCTGTTCAAAATCTAGTGATTAATTATAATTAATTATCATCTTAAGAAAAAAAGCCCTGAAATGTCTCTACTCAATAAGTAGACAGAATATCATTCTACAATAGAGAACTATCCATAGGACCAGCCGTATAGTGGCGCCCGACTCCGCCACTACCTCACCCCTCAGGTCGCTGGGAATACTTAGCAAGTCAGGCAGCATCTATGGAGAAAGGAAAGTAAGTAAACGTTTTGGATCCACGACCCTTCGTCAGAACTCAACAAAATCAACTTCTTCAGTTCTGACGAAGGACCCGAAAGGTTGACTTACTTTCCTTTCTCCATAGATACTCGCTGACCTGCTGAGTGTTCTCAGTGACTTCTTTTTGTTTCAGATTTCCAGCATCTGCAGTATTTTGCGTTTTGTTTATATTAACTAAAACACATTCATTCAAGTTCAAAATCCTCATCCTCACCTTCAAGGCCATCCACGGCCTTACCCCTCTTACGTCTCTGATCTGCTAACCCCTTATCAACCTATCTGCTCCCTCCGCTCAGCTGGCTCCGGCCTGCTCCATGTCCCCCGCCCGGCCTGCCCCACCGTTGGTGGTCGGACCTTCAGCCTCTCTGCCCTACCCTCTGGAACTCCATCCCAGATTCCCTTCGCGTCGCTCCCTCCCTTGCCTCCTTCAAGGCACGCTTCCAGATCCTCTTCTTAGACCGTGTCTTCGGCCACCATCCTATCCTCTCTGACACTATTCGAAATGACAAAGGGGTTTCTCTTGGTGTCCAAGCCAACAATTCCACCAAATAAAATTGGTTACTTGCTTCTTAGGTGTTTGTAGGACATTACTGTGTTCAAACCAGCTGCTGTGTTTGACTGCAAATGCAAAGTCATTATACTTTACAGTAATATCCTGTGAAGTGTTTTGAGGCATTTCGACGACATAAAATATATAGAATTGAAGTATTATTATTAATAATAAATAATTAGTACAAAACTCCTCAACTTAGAAGTTTCATCAAAAAGTGAATTTCTAATCAGGTTAAATCTAGAGTTGGTGAGGATTATTATTATATATTATTATGATAAAAGTAGTGCAGGGAGTTTTGTGTGTTTAATGTCTGCCTGAACAGATAGATCGGTCCTCAGTTTAACATCTCATCGGAAAGACATCACCTCCAATAACGTAGTATTCCCCCGGTACTTTATTAGTTTGTTACTTTAGATTATAAGCTCCCAAATCCTGAACTGAGGCTCAAATTTATGTCTGACCCAAAGTCTATCAACTGTGCCAATATCAAACACTTTTGCACAGGTTATGTGTGTAAATCACAGGTTCATCATTAAATTAATGGCATAATTACATTTAGGCAGAACAACTTTAACTTGACAAAATAAAATTTAACAAAGTTCCATGTGAAATATATACCTGTGACCGATGCAGATTTGGAGATCTTGATTAAACTCATCCGATGTCCTGATTTACATTTCTTCAGCCCCTGAACAATTTTTACTGATTCAAAATGGTTAATGACAACACTGGAGAGACTGGGGGCAGTTTCTGTATCAATCAGCCAATGACAATTCCGGAGCATCACATAACCATCCTTTCCCTGTACAAACAAAACAAAGTTTGTTCATTGTAAATAAGAAAACTGTGGAATATTACGTCACTACAATGTAAAGTATGAACCCCAAAAATGTTTCACTGATTTATATTGTCAAATTGTACTGCATTGTCAGGAGTTTGCTCTCTCCTTTCCCCCGAAAGCTGTTCTCCACTCCCCGCAGTGTGGAAGGAAGATGAATTTTTCTTGTTTGAATCCTCCAGAAACTCTGTAGCTTCTATGCCATTTCAATGCCAAAGTGCTATATTATATTCCAAATATGGTCTGATCAACGATTTTCATAAGGTAGAATGACGAATTTATCAAATGACTTTCAATGAAGGAACAATAATCAATCACATGCACATACGTCTACCTCTGCTAATCAACATCCATTTATTGTTTACGGTTTCTTTTCAATTATACATTATCTCACATTTATCTACATTAAAATCCATGTAATTTGTTCATCCAACTATTAAATTGGATCGTCCAGATCTTCTGAATGTTATTTATATCACTAATATTATTCACCTGTCCATACATCTTGATACCCGCTGAAAAGCTACACCAGGAGATGTAATAATAACCTTTGCATTCAATGTCATGCCTTAATACATCGTTGAGATGTATCAGAGCACTTCTCAGAATATATTGTAACATGGATTGACTCTTCAGCAGCCAATTGTGTGGATGAATGACCCAATTTTTTTTAAGCGATTATTATCCCCGGAAATCGACCTGCTAATCAACTAACAACCGGGTTCCTACTTATTGTGAGGGAAATAGAGGCGGGTGGAGTAAGGTTTCGGCCCCCGGGAATTGAACCCGGGTCCTCTCGCTTGCGAGGTGAGCTCACTAACCAATACGCTACAGGACTCCAATGTTCTCTCCTACATTACTTACAAACAATGAAAAAAACAGGGAACATGCAAATAACCCGCAGAGGGTAATGAGATTGTAGCATTCACATAGTGAAGTGGTGGTTGAATCAGATATTGTAGATGCATTCAATAGAAAGCTAGACCTTCACATGAGGGAGAAAGGAACAGAAGGGTATGAGAGGGAATAAGAAATGGATGAAGATTCATGTGGAGTATAAACACCGGCATGGATTGGTTGGACTACATGGTCTGTTTCTATGCTGTACATACTTTGTCATTTGGAGTCCTGCAGCTCAGCGGTTAGAGCACTCGGTTCGCAAGTGAGAGACCTGGGTTCAATTCCTGGCAGGGTGAAACATTGAGCAAATTTCCTTATTCCACAATCCTCTGTTTACCTAGCAGTAAGAAGGAACCTGGCTATTAGTCGATTGGTGGGTCGCTTTTCCGGGGATAATAATGCCTCAAAAAAAATAGTAATTGTTTGTGGGACACGACTATTTGTGGGACACTGCTGTGCGCAACTGGATGTCGAATTTCGCCCAGATATAGTCAATTCACTTTACAGTATATTCTGAGAAGCACTTTGAGATGTCTAGAAGACGTGATAAGGTACTATATCAAAAATGTAAGGATTGTTATTATTATTAACATTGAAAACTGAAAAATTTTAGAATGCCTGTTGACATCCTGAGTTTAGAAATGCTTCATACAACATCTACATATCTATTACGTCATTATTCCTTAAACAGCAGTTTAGTTACCATCAACATCAGACCCTTTCATATTTAAAAGCTATTATGCAATAATAAATCAGCTCTCCATAGCAACATCATAGCTCAAGTACATGATCTGTTTTTATTTCTAAGTTTATTACTCCCAAATCTTTAGTAATTCAATTAATTCAAATGCATGGGACAGTCAGCATCATTCATGCTGCTATGATTTTTGTTGCGCAATTGCAAATAAGCAGAAATCCAGACACAATAATCGTAATGATGGTCCAGAATCATGCAGAATTACCCATAGCGGAAAGTCAGTGGTTGAATAATCCTATCTTGATTACTGATGTACCCTGATTTAAAGGCATTAGAAACATAACACTATGCTGTTTGAAGCAACTGCTTTTGTGATAAACATTAAAAGACTCAACTGATATATTTAAAAGCTTATTAGATTTGGGAGAAAATCCCAGCAAACTAGAAAGTAGAAAACATAATTTTATCATAAAGAAACCTGAAAGATATCTGGAAACTATACACTAGTCGCCACCCATTTCTAACAAAAATCTTAAATATTAAAGGCTGAGGTAGAGGAATACTAGAAAATACTACTAATAATCACTCTTGCATTTGATAAGCTCTTTATCACATCATCAGAACACCTCGAAGCACTTCACAAAGTAAAATGACTGTATTTTTGTCAGAGAACACTGCAGACAATTTAAGTACAGCAGCAACATCCCACAAGAAAAGTGAATAAATTGTTTCCAGAGAATTGTTGACAGGAACATGGTGAGAAACTGCATTGTCATTTTGTCGAATAGTGTCATTGGATATTTAACAACCACATAAAATCACATAAATGACAGACAGTCTACTGTCTCAACTGAAGGACTACATCTCCAACTGCACTAGAGGGTCAATCTAGACTCTGCACTCAACTCCTGACATGGGGCTTCAGCTCACAACTTTCTGACTGAAAGGCAAGATCTGCAAGATTAATAAACGACCAATTCAGGAATGGTTAGTTGTGTTTCGTTTTACTTTTTTTTAGATTTATTAGCTTTATAACCCAAATAAAGATCTAAGCATGAAGTATACATTAATACTTAAAGTTCAAATCGTATAATTTTCTCACAAATCAACATTTAGACTTTTCTCTAGAACAATAAATGGTATATGATTGCAGCTTACTTTTGCTAGATATTCTTTAATTGCAAGTAAGTAGATTCTATTCGAGTCTGGGTACTGTCCCTGTATCTTCACCGAGTCTACAACAATCCTGTGGCCTGGTTGTGCGCTTGGGTCAAATCCAAACTCTAATCCTGCCACCTGAGGAAACCTTTAAAAGTTGCAAACAGAATTCGCTTTTAAACATCTAAGTGGATATTGTAATAAATTATGAAAAACTTCTTATATTTGAATACAAAATGTTTTATTTTGATTAGCTGAGTTTCTGACACACATGTAATCCATCACCACGCTTAAAAGTATCCAAACCAAACAGCATTCCTTGCATACATGGAAATTCCCTTGTGCTGGAATGGAGTGTGCACTCTCTCCCTGTAGGTACGCATCCTGTTTGCCGAATTCCTTAGAGTATTAAGCATAGCCTGGCAAGAGCCAAGATTTGGGGACCATAGAGTATGTATTTAGTTTTGCTGGAATCTAGCCAGCTAAAACCACATAGTTTGCTATTGAAAGCACTGTCTGCAAGCTTTTCCACTGCTTCTCCAGCTAGGACCACCCTATCAGTTAGGGCTTTAACTTGAAGGGTTAACAGAAGCTGAGTGGGAAGAATCCCTGCCCCCAGTGACTGGTCTGCCCCTGCAAGTCTGCCCGATGAGCTAGTCTGGCTGGGCTGTCATCAGCAATGCCTTGGTGTAAGAAACCGCCAGGCTCAGGAACCAGACTACTGAGATCGCCTCAGAAGGTTCAATTCCGACATTCCATTGCCAAGAATGTCACGTTGGAGTCAATTCAGTTTGAAGAAGACCCCACTTACCCCACTTATGAAAGACATATAATCACAGCTATAACATGGGATTGTTCCAGTCAAATCTATCTGAATATAAACAAACTATTTTTAATAGACTAGAACAATGGTGTGTACATACTAAATTGACATCACTAATATCAGATTAGATATTTAAAGAAAATAAAACAAGTTTGACATGATATCAAGATAAAGCATGTTATAAATTTAATTTATTCAATCTGTATGGTTGCGTATGTGCAAAAGAGACACGGCACACAAGGAGGCGAGGGGAATGTGGGATGGTGTTCCAAAGGGTGGGGCAGAAATGCCATTGAAGGCTGTTATAATGGGGTTTCCCGTGTATTAAATAAAGTAGTTTATTGCCTCAATATTTCAGCTTGCTGATTTGCCCATATAATACTTAAATTCTAATCAATAAAATGGTTTGTTAGAATCCACAAAATGCAAACAAATTTGCAAGGAGAAATACTATTAGATGGCCAAAGCAGCTATTTGATTCTCCAATTAATGTATTATTATGCATGCAAACATTGCTAACCAGAATGACTTTGAGGATGTAAAAATGATGGTAAGCAAAATTACATCAACTTTGAAGAAATATTTTCTACTTAAATCTACAAAGTTTCCAGAATGGACAGAGGGAATGAAATGCAGCAATTCAGCATTACCACTCAGCACATTACGGACATTTTCATTCTGAAACCGCACATCGACCCATCCAGAAATGAATGGAAATCAGCCAACACATAATTGACTAGTACTGATATATACTTAAGTGATGTCAGTAAGTACGTACATATTCATAATTCCTAATTAGCTGGCAACAAGTTGATGGACTGAGTAACAGCTTTGTAACACTTAAGAATGCTTACTGTGTGACAAATTAAGAAAACACTTAGCAGTGCAGATTCCAGTCTGCTTTTGGAACAGCAATGACCCCGCCCCCCCCCATTTGTTTTCTCAGATTAAGAGATTTTGAGATTAAATTAATATGGGTCTTCATTTCATATTCTCATTAAATACTGAATGGCACATACAAAAATTGGTGGTAAACAGTTATATAAATTGCAAAGGGATTTGTGGCCAATGTGCACTGGGCAATTCTGCCTCACTTGCCATGTTTAGCATATTTGTCTGTGTTTGTAAATACCTAATTAAAATTAAACATATAAAATTCTATCAGTGATTTATAAACGCGGAAACAAAACAAATGTAAAACAAACATTGATAAATTTGTTATATTTAGCAAACTAAAATGAACAGTATAACCTCCCCCAATACTGACATCAGAAACTATTCACGATTTTTTTTCATACCTTGCCAAAAAAAGTTTCAATTAACAGAAATATCTCATAAAATATAATTTCCTGAGTTATAATTAGAGGCTAGAGGCTAGGAACAGATAAAGAAACATCTCAGGGGAAATATTATTCAAGTACTCAAGATCCTAAAAGTTAGATAAACTAAACTCCAATAGCATATTGGTCAAATAAATTAGCACAAGGGTTCAAAAGAGGGAAAGTGAACATATAGTTCAGTTTTATTGATTTAAATACACAGAGAGAAGCTGAATATGTGGAATAACTACTCAGGAGGCAAATAAGGTGGATTTGTCAGCAAATTCAAGAGGGAATGACATGTAGCCAGAGGAACCAAGAAATTAAAAAGAAAAGGGAGCAGTGATAGTTACAAGGAAGAAGATGAAGGAATTCAATTCTCCCAGCCATCAATGTGCCTCAAACAAGGAATGAGACAGAGGCAGGCATGCAAAGGATATTGTTGATGTACACTTATTTATCTTCTTTATTATTGATAATGTTTACACACACAATAACAAAACTACATCTGTATAGCGCCCTTCACGTTGGGAGGATGCCCAAGGAGCTGGACAATCAGTGTTTTGGACTGTGTACGCAGCACAGGAAATGCTAAATACACAAATTTAACACAACCAGAATTTCCCCCCCTTAAAGATTTAGTCAAGGTTAGAATAATTTCTTTCAATTTACAAACAAATGACAATTAGGGTTAGGTTATACAACCTAATATTTGATAAGCTTTCACAGCAGCTTAACATTTGTGGAGCCCTGTAGCTCAGTGGTTAGAGCACTCGCTTTGCAAGCAAGAGACCTGAGTTCAATTCCAGGCAGGTCAGGGCCAAACCTTGGGCAAGTTTCCTTACTCCACACAAAGCGCCTAATAATAACCCTCCAAAACCCAAAACAATAATAAATTGGTCATTTTCAATCCACGACTGTTTGTGGGACATTGCTGTGCGCAATTGGCTGCCGCGTTCGCCCACAAATATACAGTCAATTCACTTTACAGTGTGTTCTGTGAAGCGCTTTGGGACGTCCTCCTGATGTGAAAAGCGCTATATCAAATGCAAGGATTATTTTTATTTTTATTGACCAGAAACTTTCAATGAGCAATCACAGTAGACAGGGGCTGCTGGATAAGAATCATGAGTAGGAACCATGGCTGATTTCTCTCTCACAAACCTGGGGCACTTATCCACATGACCACAATTTATGTGTTCACCTGGACAAGTAAGGGTCAGCAGGCTATTTAACTATGGGACCACTTCACCTGGGCCCAGTACCGTCCTTATCTGTGACCACACTTGTAAGTGTCTGACAGGTGGTCTTAGGTAATACTCATAAACCTTGGCTGATTTCCTCCTCACTAACTTGGGCACTGAGTTAGGTTGTAGTGTCCCTGGAGTGCAGGCTTAGCACAGTTAATTCAATGCAGACTGTGGATCAAATTTGGGATTATTCTAATGTGGGATTTTCAGATAAGCTACTTGATGGACCATTTTTTAAAATTACTTTTTCCACTGGCTAAATCTAGAACAAAGACTCAATAAGTGTTACCTTCCATCAGGTTCTGGATACATGCTGACTCCATTTTCTAAAGCTTCTAATAACTGTTGAGTTGTCACCTGGACCACGAGAAGTGGATCGACAATAGGTAGAACTAACAAAAGATCGTGCATGGTAAAATCACCTGGTGGGTGTAACCGATCTGAGCGTAGTGTACCTAAGAATTTAAAAATGTTTAGATTCATTTCCAAATCATTTTCTTCTTACAGTTGCATAAATTCCTCCCTCAAGCTAATCTGATTTACTTTGAATCCACTCATAATATTTACCAAAAAAAAATGTGTTATTACCTAGAGAAACAACTGCAGGGAGAGGTGGGTAGAGATATGGTCCACTGAGGAATTTCAGTCTAAGTGTAATTACAATGTCGGTACCGTGAATCCCATGAGCAGAAGGTAGCGGATAACTGTCTAAGTGAGTCATTTTTGTTTGAGAAGTGTAAGTCGATATCCCTGGCCACTGAATGCCAGCAAGATGATGATGCAGGGATGCAGACTAGGAAAGTTGGACCAGTGGGAGTCTACACACGTGGGCCCAAGAAACTATTTTTTAATTTCCATTTCGGGCTCAATTGGCAAGGTACAAATTTTGGGTAACCAGAATCCAATAACACTTAGTATAGTGAAAATGAATCAAAAGAGCATTACTTCTGCAAAGCCTCATTCAACTGCAGCCGGAATATTGCCAATGGGTGAGTATTCACTTAAGACTCTGAATTTAGATTTAGTTTAATACAGAAATTAAGTCCAACAATAAAGTACAAATCAGATGGCTACAGGACACAAATCAGCATGGTGTACTTAATGATAGTGAGGAGGGTCATTAATTTGTCTAATTCCTGATAGACAGTGTGTGATGAACAGGGATTTAAAATTTAAAATGATTGCAGTTCTTACCCACGCTCCTTAGACAGATGAAACAGCTCCATAACCTTACACAGTGGCCTTTCATATACAAACAACAACAAAATTACATTTGTAAAGCGCCTTCGTATAGGGAGGATGTCTCAAGGCGCTGGACAGTTCAAGCTGGGGGTCGGGTTTGGGGAAGGTGGAGGGTAGGGAGGGTAGCTCAAGCTGTGATCGAAGAGGAGAGTTTTGAGATGCGCCTTGAAGGAGGTAAGGGAGGGAGCGAGGCGAGGGGAACGTGGGATGGTGTTCCAAAGGGTGGGGCAGAAATGCTGAAGGCCCAACCAGCGATGGTGGAGCAGGACACAGCCTGCTGAGCAAGAGGGTCTGGACAGGTTGAAATGGAGTCAGCAGGTCGCAGAGGTAAGAAGGAGCTAGGCTGTGGAGGGCCTTGAAGGTGAAGGCGAGGATTTTGAACTCCAACTTCTGGGGGATGGGGAACCAGTGGTGAGGGTGGGGGAGATGGGGTCATGGAACCTGGTGCGGGAGAGGATACGAGCTGCAGAGTTCTGGATGATCTGCAACTTGTGGAGCGAAGAGTTGGGAAGGCAGACAAGCAGGGAGTTGGTGTCGTCAAGCTTAGATGTGATTAATGCGTGGATGAAGGTTTTGGCGACCTGAGGAGTGAAGCAGTGCCAGAATAATAATGGGGAAGAGTGGAAAAGAAACGCCACTCTAACAACCCTGTAAATCTTACCTTGAGTGACTTATTTTTAGAATTGAGCGTGTTGCAAACAAGATGAATTAGAACATACCTGAATTAAGCAATGCCACATCAGCATGAGTAGCTTCCAACATGGCATTTGTAACGAGATTTCCTAAACTGCTCTCTGATTTTCGCACGGTGGTAAAGCGTCCATCCAATTCTACATCTATTTGACAGAGCACTTCTGCGAATTGGTGCTGGACAAATAAAACAAAAGTCTATTTGTAGCAAGTTTAGACAATTGTTCCTTATGTTATTTATTGTCAAGGACTATTCAAGAAAACAAGTTTACTTCAATGTTTATTATTGACAGAAAGTATGAAATAAACAAATAATAGGAAAAAACATTTATGTTGGTGTTTGAGACAACCCAATGGAAATGGCTCTAAGTTAATTTACTTAATATATGTTCCACTTGCAGCAACTCTTCAGTTGTATACTCAATAGTCTCTTTAGTGAAATTTTACTTAAGATTTTTTCCAAGAATATTTTACATCAGTAGCAGATAGTATTCAAGGATCTTCCGACCACTTTATCAACAACTTCAATTATGGATTACTTACATCTCTTTTTATTCAAAACCAAAATAAAAATAACCAGCATGAACAACATGATCCTATATACCCAAAGTAGATAAGAAAACATAAAAATGCCATAAAAACACCAGATAAATGGGTTCCACTTGCATCTTTTTGGATAACAGTAATTGCAGTTTTCCTGCATGACCTGTTTGTAGGAAAAAGGGTCATCTACCCATTTGATCCAATGCACTTCACTATGAACCATAGACAGAATCAGATAATCAATTAAGATGTTTAAATTGTTTTGATCAGCTCGTTGTGCGACATGTAAAACCCCATCACAGTACGTAAAAGCATCCAAACTGGATAGAATTTCATAGAATTCCACATATGTATACGATCCTCACATAGAAATTTCTGTGTGCCTTGCAAGGAGTTTCACTTTCTCCTTGAAGGGACACACCCTGCTTACCTAATTACAGTGAATATTAGGTGCACAATGGCTAGAGCCAAGGCTTGCGAGCCCCAGAGTGTGGGTTGGGGTATTGGTGGAATTGAAGCAATTAAAACTGCATTGCTTGTCATTGAGAACACTCAGGTAAGTTATTCTCTGCTTGACCACTTGACTCACTAGGACTTTGGCTTGCAGGGCTATCAAGAGCCAAGTTGGAAGAATCCCCATTCCCATTGATTGTCTGGAATTCTGTCCCTCTAAACCTTGAATGATGAGCCGAGTTGGCTGCTCTGCCAACAGCAATGCCTTGGAGTTCTGTTAACCCACCTGGCTCAGGAACTAGACTTGCGAGCACCAAGAAGGTTGACTCAATTCCAACATTCTGTTCCAAGTATATCATATTACAGCTGTCTCAACACCAAGGATATTGCCACCATTCGGCTCAGACACTCATCCGTACCCATTGAAAGAACAGGTTAGAATTGCAGAATTTGTGCAACGGCTACTTGCCTCTCTGCATACCAATCAAGATGGATGCCAAGCCCAAGAGTGTATGTCACAAATCCAGATTTATAACATGAGTCACACCCTAAATATGTTCTTCCATAACACAAATGGATAATATGCACAAAATGTAACAAAATACTTGGATCTTTCGGAATTCTCAAATTGGATACAAAATTTGTCAAATATAATTAAAAAAATACATTCCTATCTTTCTCTTTCATTATATCATGGTATTAACACATTGAAGTTAGTGATCATTCCCATTAGTTCATTAAATCCTTTGTGGTTTCAAGAACCATTCAATTAATTGACAATCATTTGTTAATAAATAATCTTAATTACAAGATAATAATACTATTTGACAGTTAATCCTTCTTTGTATTACTGTATATTTAAAGATAAAAAACAAGCTTAATTTCTCATTCCAGTTCCAAATGGTCTTAATTTTAACTGACAAGTTGGGCTATACATCGATTATGATGTAAGAGTCAACTGAGCTCACAATTAAATGCTCAAGTGAAATTTTCAAAGCAATAATCAAACCAAATGAAAGATAATCACTGCAATGCTACAATTATATGGGTGCTGGAGAGTGGTGCTATGTTGTCGACTGTGTCTATGGTTATCTCCCTCTTCCCCATTGCTCAGTATCCAATCCAGCTACTTTCCAGTACTCCAAGACTCTTATCTGAGTGAGTGAAACTGAGGTACTGAATAGTACTGAGTGATACTATTCAAAAAGTGAAGGGAGTTTGTCCTGTTGTTGTGGACAATAATCCCCCAAATATTAGAATTGGTCATTCACCTCATGGCTGTATGTGAGAAATTGTTGTGGGCAAATTGTAGGTATTAGCCTATAAATTATGCAGTTGTTACACTTTATTCTAATCCTTATAGAATATGAACCCTAAATTGCCTTTCCATTACAGCAAGAATACTCAAAAGATTTTATTTTAGTGAACTATTTACTTGGTTACTATGGATTCTGTGCGGCACAATTAATTACAACAAAATACAGTGCCTATTGATAATGACCTGCTTCATGATCTGCCTCCATTACCCTCAAGGAGAAGGAGCTGAGGAGATAGGGAGAAAGGTGGCTAAAAGCACAGTCGAAAAGGATGTGTCTTTAGGCGAGTTTTTGAAGGTGGTGAGGCAGTAAAGTGCGCTTTATCCTAAACTATGATGCACCTCTTAGGAATGAGCTTGAACTTAAACGAAGCAAGGCAAGGTTGAACCTTCAATTTTATTCAAATTCCTTTTTGAAGGAAAATAGACATCTTCTGATATCCTGGCCATCCTCCAAGTAAAATTGTCATTCACTTCATGGCTGTTTCTGGAAACAGTGCCTGGCACATTTGCCTACAAATACAGTCACTGAACTTTATAGTAAAATCCTTAAAGCATATTGGGATATTGAGATCTGGTAAGCTTAATATCAAATATAAAGGTTCTTATCTGGTTAATATGACTTCCCATTATATAAGCGCACTATAGAAGTACTCATTGTCAAACTGTGTCCAGGTTTCTAACGTTGTTAAAAAGGTATCAAATCATATTTTATTTAAAACATTTTTAAAAACAGTAATGTTTTCATTTTGTGGCATAAATTGCTGATGGTTTGAGCTACTGTGCCATGACAGATTTATTTACCTATAATGTTTTTAATTAATCCAAAAAAGCAAGAAGTGTCATTATAACACTAAATCATAACTTGATGTTACATTTCTAATGTGAGTTTTTACTACTACTAATAATAATATATTATTAATAATATAATCGCTCAAGAAAAAAAAATTGGTCACTTCAATCCATGACTGTTTGTGGGACACTGCTGTGTGTAATTGGCTGCCTTGTTTTGCCCACAAATATACAGTCAATTAACTTTATTGTATATTCTGTGAAGCGCTTTGAGACGTCTAGAAGACATGAAAAGCGCTATATCAAATGCAAGGATAATAAACTAAAAAAATTAGGATAAGATAGTGTGAAGAAAGGATACAACTGATACTTAAAATTGTTACTAACGTACCTCAAGATTGAAGGTAAACTCTTCGACAATGCTTTTCACAAAATCATCTTCTTCCAAATCTTTTGTAATAACTATCTTCTGTGTTGTGTATTTGAAACTGTTTACGGGAGTTCTTGCAATGTCAATTTTAGTTAGAGTTCTAAAATCTGATCCACTTTTCACAATAAGAATTCCATTAACCTCTTTGATGCCATAGTCATGATCGTGACCTCCAAGCACCAAATCCAAACCCTGGGAATGCTTTGCAAGTCTTATATCATTACTCCATTTCATGTGCGTCAAAGCAATCACAAGTTCTGCTCCTTTGACTCGAAGTTCTTTGGAAAGTTGGTCAGCAACACGAACATAATCAATGTAATTCACATTTGACTTATCAACAGTTGGTAGGGTATCAAGCCATTCTTCTTCCACTAAGCCTATTAGGCCTACTTTTACACCATTCCATTCAATTATCCTGTTCTCCAAACCATGTCCTAATGGCCGCAAAGTAAATAAGTCAAATACATTGCTGAGCAACCAGGGGAAATTCATCTGCGATGCAGATTCTTCCAGCAGATCGACTCCAAAGTCAAATTCATGATTTCCTGTAATTGAAAAAATTGTCTCTGAAATTTTCGAAAGTATATCAACACAGTATTTCTATCAATAACACCGAAATAAATACCGTAATCTTTACATTAATATCAAAGTTTGCAAGCAATGGGAAATCAAGACACATGCAAAGTGAATAGGGAATACTGCTGGATATTCAATAGACCATCCACATAATTCAGTTGAAAATGTACTTTTAAATATTTACAGAAGAAAATAAGCTCTACAGGAGAGATTACTTACCTTTATACGGTATTTTTAAAAAACAATTTGTTGGGTTAAGGTCCTGCTAAGAATCAAAACGTCAGAAATAAAAATCATGTGAATGATCCCTTGAGTATCTCCACATAATAGGGACTGTCAAAAGATTACATCTAAAAAGTTAGTTCACTTTATCCTTAAACAATAAAGATGTATTCTCACAATTCCAAAAACCTGGGTAAATGATAGGATGACGAGGGGTGTTTCAAAGATATCCTCTAAAGTGGTGACATTTAATATGAGAACTTTGCTTCTTGTGGGTCTATAAGACCTCAGCTGTCAAAACTGACATAACAAAGGCAACATCATCCATGCTGTCAAGTCCGAGCAATACTGTTTGATGAAGGTATGAGAACTGCATAATAATCCCTCCAAAAAAAAAACAATAATAAATTGGTCATTTTCAATCCACGACTGTTTGTGGGACAGTGCTGTGCGCAATTGGCTGCCGCGTTCGCCCACAAATATGCAGTCAATTCACTTTACAGTATATTCTGTGAAGCGCTTTGGGACGTCTAGAAGACGTGAAAAGCGCTATATCAAATGCAAGAATTATTATTATTAAGGTATAAGAACTGCAGCCGATCAACAGAAACATACAATTAAAAGGTGCTCAAGAGGCAGCAGTAAACCTTGTACAAGGGTCCATCACTGAGCCAAAAGGCTTCCTCACTGCAAGACGGTAGCAGTGATGAATGAAATTAATTATTCAGACATTGTTTGTTAATGGCTTTGCTAAGAGCAAAAATTAGGTTGTTCAGCTCATTAACTACATTTCACAGTAAAACCCTATGAAGTGCTTTGGGACATCTTAATGTCATAATAAAATGATATCAAAACCAAGGATTATTATAAAAGCAGAATCCACGAATGACTAGCTAAAAATTGGCTCTTCTTTCCTCTCTCCCATTCAACTCCTCTCACCCCTCCCATAACTGAGTTGATATCTTGTGTTTTGATTTTAAAAAATAAAAATTAACTTCATGCATATATTGTTTCGGTTTAAGATTATCATTATTTTGTTAATTTTTATGGATATTAAATTATGTGCATTTTAATTCACTTAATTCTTTCACTCTCATTGTTTTCTCACTATGTGCAACATTGCTTTAAAATTTGTATGAATTTTTACATTGCTTAAAGTTTGCATTGCAACTAAAATATAGTGAAATTAAGTATACCATTACACAATTTAAACCAAAGGATTTCTATGTGATTCTTACAGGTTACATTCAGGAAGGGAAACACAAAATTATTGCTTATGTGTCCAGCAGACGTTTCTCAAATCTAATATCTGGCCTTCAGCAATCAACAGATTGGATCACCCTGACATATACCGATTAACATTCACATTCTGATTTATAGTACAAATCATCACACTAATTGATCCATTTGCCTGTTGACAACCATTTCACATTTATTATATGCCATCAAGGTTTCAATAATAACATCCTGGTAGATATCCTTGTTTTTTTTACCATTTCCTCTTTCTATGTGCATTAGTTTTCATTTATCCACATTAGAAACTATCTACCATATCTCAGCTCATCCACTTATGAATCTTAACCTCTCTTTTACTTGCCATTTTGCCAAAAAAACTCTTTACCATCAGCAAATGCTAGAATACTTTCCATAGGCATCCTCTGCCAAACAACTGACAATTAAAGAGTAAAAATAAAGGCCACCCAGAACATAACCTTACAGAAGTCCATCCTTGTCTCCCATTGCTGCACTACTTTTCAATCAATCTGAATAATCTGATATATATTCTGTGAATCTTAACCCTTCCTTACTTGAAGACATTTGTCAAATTGCTTCTGAGAATCCAATTAAACCATCAGTTGAATAGCCTTCATCCATTATCTTAAATTACTGCCTCGTAAAATTCCAGTAAGTCTGTCAGACATCAACAATTGCTTCAAAACCATGCCAACTGTTCCTTACATCAATTGTCTTCAGATGATCTCTGATTACATCCCATTTATGATCTCAAATTATTCCATTTATTCCTTCAGCATTGTTAATGTTCTAATTAATGCAATTTCCAAATCTGTACTTTACTCCATCTTTAAAATTGGAATAATATTTTCTGCTCTCCCATTACTAATCTAATGTACTGCAAATTGATCTCCTAAAGTAATATCCAGTGAAGCACTAATCTCCTTGTTGTTATTGTTTGAACATCAGGCCTAGGTGTCTTGTAATCATTTAAACCTTTAGAATTTTGCACAACATATGTAGAACTAACTTTCATATACACTAGTTTCCTTATTCACACTTTCTGTATTAGGATACGAAAATCAAAAATCAAATCCATTGCATTTGATATAGCACCTTATCACGTTTTTGAGATGTCTCAAAGTGCTTCACAGGTTATAACAACAACAAGATTACATTTGTATAGTGCCTTTCACGTCGGAAGGACGTCCCAACTATATTTATATTGGAAAGTGTAATGACTGTATATTTTGTGGGTGAAACATGGCAGCCAACTGCACATTCATGGATTGAGTGACCAAATTATTGTTATTGTTTTTAATTATTTATTTTTTTGAAGGGATTATCACCCCTGGAAAAGTGATATGACAATTAACTAACAACCGGGTTCCTACTTACTGCTAGGTAAACAGAGGCTAAATCCAATCACTAAATCGGCATAAGTCATATACAAATTTTACTTAATTGATTCCTCATAGATCTGTGTGCTTTAACACTCACATTCTACTACAGTATTTATATAACCTGAAAACTCTTTAGGGTCTTTCTTGCCATCACATGCAATTTATCTTTCATTTGCATTCATACCTTTGCCATTTTTATTAACTAATCTCAACTGTTTTTGTATCAATCCAATATGTAAGATTATTCCAGCAGTAAGTAGGCACCAATTGTTAGTTAATTGGCGGATTGCTTTCCAGGGATAATAATCCCTCCCCCAAAACAATTTGGTCACTCAATCCACGATTGTTCATGGGAAATTGCTGTGTGTAATTGGCTGCTGCGTTTCACCCACAAAATACAGTCAATCCAATTTACAATATATTCTGTAAAGCACTTTGAGACATCTTAATGACATGATAAGGCACGATATCAAATGCAGATATTATTATTATTCTCATAGCTCCAAATTTTCTCTATTAAAATCCATGCACCGTAATATTGTTGTTGATTTACCTAATCTATAATGATACAACAACCACTAGATCCCAGGTGCTTCTGAACTTCCAGGTCATTAATCAACCCTGTGCATTACTAAATGCTAAATCTAGTACAGCTGCTGCTCCAGTTGCCTGCTTCACACATTGTGTCAAGTAGCAATCAATGATTGCCTCAGTGAAAATGTATTTTCAAACCTCCTCCCAGTTGTCACTAATCTATCCACTTAACCTTTAGGGTGTTGAAATTCCTCATGATGAGCTTATTATGACTCCAATACTTTATAAAGCATTGGCACAACCATAAGTGAGGCAGTAACGGAATGCTAATGGCTTCCACACATCTACATATTTAAATAATGACATTTCATGGAGGTGGATAAATGATAGAATAACCAACTTTTGGTAAAAGTGTTGTGTACAAACAGGGATTTTGATGAACTACCATCCAATCAAGCTGATTGAAGGCAAGTAGCTACATTTCATGAAGACTCCTTGCTGAATGCAAAGCTATAATAGGAAGTATTTCCATGAGAGAAGCTTTAAGATCACACAAAGCAAGAGGTTTGAAGAGCAACTGTATCAATTTGTGCACAATTAAATATAAGATTCCATCCATGGAATTAAGGAAAAAGAAAAATTTTTGAACAGAAACAGTTTCCAAGAAAAGTCATTTCCACACTCCTTAAGAAAAAATATGAATTTTGTCAGTTTCTCAGCAATTGTGACATGATTGACTTGCAGATAACCCAAGTTTGTAAGACATCTTGGCCAAACTTCAACAACCACAACAACTTGCACTTAAATAGCGCCCTCCGTGCAGGGTGGCGTCTCAAGAGCAGTTAACAGTGGCGGAGCCTGACTCCGAGGCGGGGGGGAAAGGTGGCCGTAAGCATGGTTAAAGAGGAAGGTTTTCAGGTTGGACTTGAGAAAGAGGAGACAGTGGCCAAGGATTGAGGAAGAGTGTTCCAGCAGGATCTTCCAATTATGAAGTCAAACCATCTGGTGGCTCACGTGGCTGAGTTGTTTAGGATAAGTGAGCTTGTGCTAAGAGCCAACTCATGGATTCATGCAACAATCCATGACATCCAAACAAAATGACATCTAGGCAGAGGGAAGATGTACCAATTGATGTGCCATGCTGATTCTGTCATCCACTACTTGGACCCAATTTTTCTGATGCTGACCTCTTTAATCACAAAGTATTGAATCCATGACCAAAGTCAGGTAAGAAGGCAGCGGTACTCACTCAAATTCATTATTTTCCTGTGCCCACTGAACTAAATCTACAGCCAAGGCCTGATCTATTTCTATCAGGTGCTTTTGGTATCATACAGTAAGAAAATAGACCATTGGTGGATCTTGTGGGATTCATAAATAGCTTCTAGTTTTCTACTAGAGTCATAAAGTTAAATAAGTTGTTCAATATTTACTCACCAAATACTGCACACTGTACTCCAAAAGCATTAAGAATTGGTATCATGTGTTGTCCTTTTGTTGTTGTGCTTAACAGTGAGGGGTTTAAACAGTCACCACTAAAAAGAATCAGGGGATCCTGTTGATTAAATTGTCGTAAAGCTGTAGCAAATCTGTTTTTTAAAAAAAAGTTTGCTCAGTTTATGAAAGTAACACAATGCACACCATCAATACATTATTTTACTACATTTAAAACATATTCTCAAAATTAAACAGCAATAATAAACTTAAGAATTTTCCTTTATTACCTATAAAAGAGGACAGTACCGTGTCCATTTCCTATTCCTATTCAAAGTTTAGAAGAGTAAAACAAACTACACAAAAATCAAAGCTTGCAAGCAAGAACCATAAAACTAAAAAAAATACAATTCCAAAAAAGTAAAAGTTAATAAAAGTTCAAATAATTATTCTGCATGTTGAATTTCAGTAATAATAGAAACTTCTCCCATCTGTTTTCAATGGTTTGCATGTTTTGGGTCTGTTCATATTTAGGCTACATTCATCATCAAGATCATATATCTCATACTGTTAATTTAATTATGACCTTAATTAATTTTATTCCAAATCGACATCCACCATAACATAATGAATAGTAATTATTACATGTTATTTAGTACCTTATTACATAATTGAAATGTTTCAAAGCATTTCACAGAACATTTTACAGTAAAGTGTATTTTGTAAGCTCATGCGCCAGCCAATTTGCAAACAATGTCAGATAGCCAATTAAGTGAATGACCGAAACTAAAATAATACTAATTCTTGCATTTGATATAGCACCTTATCACATTGGTGAGATATCTCAAAGCGTTTTACAGGATATACTGTAATATAAATTGACTGTACATTTTGCAGGTGAAATGTGGCAACCAATTGCGCGCAGCAGTGCCCCACAAATGGCCGTAGATTGAGTGACCAAATTATTTGAAGGATTATTACCCCAGGAAACTGATCCGCCAATCGACTAACAACCAGGTTTCTACTTATTGCTTAAAGACTTCCCCCCCACCTCATCATAAGACTTTACCCTGATATTCCCTAGAATCAACAAGTGATTCTATTTTTCTAAGTCCTGCCCTTCACTAAGAATGCCACACACAATAACAAGTTTTGAAGACATTGGCTGTGGCCAGCGTTCATATAAAGAGCTCTCACGCATTTAACATAATAGCTTTAATCCAAGGTAACTTTAAACATCTATTTTTGATTTTAAGGGTAATGAACACAACAAAGTTGCAAGAAAAGGGAAGCAGTGAATAAATCATTCACACAGATAAAATAGGGAGTGCTCAGGGCCACAGATTGGGAAAGAAAAATTAAAGCATCAGCCAGAGGAGTGCTGAAGCAAGAAGGGAAGATTGAACGGGAGATGTTGAGACATTAAATAGTCTTATGCCACTTTTTTCTCATTTTGTTGATAGTAAATTGTAATGAAAAAAAATAGAATTTTCCCAGCGGTTAACTTACTTGTTACCTTTTTTGCAGTTGGATCTTCCAATTACTTCAGAAGTAAGTTGTCATCAGCAAACAAGGAGCTATTGGCCTATATATATGTGGTGTGCTGCAGGTACCAAAAGTAGTAGGTAGCAAACATACGCTTGTATTGGTATTGCTGCATGTTGTTGTTGACAATTTTGTAAATATGATTTTGGTTCCAACCATATCTGGTTTCAACTGTTGTTTCCCAACAACTCCTCTACAAATTGTTCTTCACGTGCATGGGGAAAAAATTCCAAATGTAAAGCGACAGCTCCCTTACAGGGCATCGCTTCCTCTTAAGTGTCACTTCGGCACACTAACAGTGTGATTTAAGGAAATGCTTCCTCTATGATATCCTTTGTTGTCACAAGAGATGAAGATCCTTCAACCAATTTGATCTCATCCTTCCAGAATACCCATCCAACCATCAAACTGTGTCTAAAATGAGTCTAATCTTCTCTCTCCTTCCCTGTGACCTGATTCAGTCATTAATTACCTACTAGGTAAATAAAATACTTCCTGAAGTCTGACCTGAAATTGCCTTTTGCGAACCTGAAGCCTGTGCTATGTTTTCTCAGTGCATCTGCAAGTATCGGTTTCGGTTTACTTTCTCAATCTCATCAAAATTCTTATGTTCCTCCATAAGGTCCCCTTGAGGCTGCATTAATGTAACTTGCGGTCATTAATGTGACACCAGCAAGTAAGTAAGTGCATCTACGGGAGGTGGTATCCTTACGATAGTTATATCGTGTCCTAAATTGTGTTTGTGAGACACCGATGTGCGTAGTGAGCTGCCGCTTTTCGCCAACAAAACACAGTCAATTCACTTTACAGTATCATTTCCGTGAGGCGCGTCAAGACATTCTCAACGATGTGATAAGGTGCTATATTAACTGCGTGGATTATTATTATTATTATTATTATTTGTTATTTATGGGCCTGCAGTTAAGTACCGATGGCCCGGATGGGTTTTCTTCTCGACGACTCCAGGTGCAGGAGGGCAAGTTATTAAACTCGGGAGTGAAATCCGCGCGGCCTGTCAGACCCTGGGAGAGAAGGTGGCGCCTTCCCTCCTCTCCTCTCTCCCTCCATCCCTCCCACTCCCCCCTCCCTCTCTCTCTCTCCCTCCCTCCTCCCCTCCCTCTCTCCCTCCCCTCCTTCCCTCCCTCTCACTCCTCCCCTCCCTCCCCTCCTTCCCGCCCTCTCACTCCCCCCCTCCCTCCCCTCCTTCCCGCCCTCTCACTCTCCCCTCCCTCCCTCCCCTCCTTCCCTCCCTCTCACTCCCCATTTGGGGTCCTTTTATTTCCAGGGAAAAAAAATGGCTCCCTTTCGAAACCTGTACGCGGCAATTCGCGCAAGAAGTGGGATCGTCACCTCGCCGCGCCTCCCACGGGTTCCTCCGAACGCGACTGGACCTCGTAGACATCGTTGAAGTGGAGGATGGTCAGCAGCGGCGGCGGCGGCGGGGGCGCCTCGCACGACGCCGGAGGCAGGTCGGCTCCCCTGGTCGCCATCTTGGATCGCTGCCCTTCGGCGCCTCGCGCGACGGCCAACCGTCCCTCCGGCCGTCGCGAGGGCAACGCGCCTGCGCTCGAGGCGCCCCGCCCGGCATCAAAATGTAGCCCGAAGCCCGCCCAAACGCTAGCCCAAAATAGCCCGATGTGAGGTGTGGCAGGAGGGGATGTCCCCCATGGCGCTCCACAGTCAGGGGGTCCACATCCGAGCTGGTGGCCGGGATCAGGAGGGTGAAGGGAGGGCAGAGGGGGGGGGGGGGGGAAGGAGGTTGACCAAAGGCGCGGTGGAAGAGGAGGGTCGTCAGACGGGTCTTGAAGGAGCCGAGGAAGGGGGGCGAGTTGGAGGGACTGCGGGAAGGAGTGCCGGTGGGCGCGGGGTGGTGGTGGTGGGTGGGGGGGTGCAGAGAGGCTTACGAATTAGGCAACCTGCACCCTCCCCCACGCGGTGCAACAATAAAACACCCAACTGGATCTGAATCCGCCCCTAAACGTTGACCAGGAGCCCAGGGCCAGCCAAGCAGGAACGTTTATTCTTCTATTAATGTTCTTTTTTAACCTGTAGTTATTTTGACGGTTTCATATTAAACGCAAAATACGCGTGACGGTCGTGTCGATGTCAACCCCCACCTTTTCACCAACCGCACCGGCATTGCACGTTTAATAACGATCCTTACTTTTTGTTTTTACATTTATTCCAGAAGGGAGTTTTTCTCCTGGTGTCCCCGGTGGACGGGAATCCTCCAAATAAAATTGGCCGTTCAATTCCTGGCTGTTTGTGGGGCAAATTGGCTGCCATGTTCGAAAACATACAGAGTCACTACGCTTCATAGTATTTCCAATGAAGCACTTTGAGGCAGAAGGTGCTATATCAAATGCAAGGATTATTATTGTTGTCTACTAGTTTTTATAGGTTTTGCAGAATGACAGTCAAGCCCAGGAGATTGTCAATCATGCAACCATTTGTAGTGGTGTAATGAGCAGCCTAAGCATTTTGAAGAATGGTCCAAAGGGACCTATTCATCTGAACCTATAGTAATCTTACATTTTATTCCAACACCAATTGACACCAATCGATTTGTATACTCCTATCACAATGGAATTGAATTCCAAAAGTCATCAATACATAAAAGACCTTATCAGTACCTGCGGCCCTGCAACATTTATATCATGACGTATGCACAACTTAACAGTTACTTTAGACAGAGAGAGGCAAGGTTCACAACGGTGATTGCTTTTAGACCAAAGATATAGGACGAGAGTGAAAATAACAGCAATCTGAAGAAAGTTGCAACAGGAACATGGATGCGAGATAATTGTTTTTGTGGTGGTGTGCTTAATGGGTGAGCATGGTGTTATAATCATAATAAGTGGGGGGGAGAAGCTTTCTGTCAAGAGATGCATTGCTCAGCTTGAGTCAAACAACGCATGCAAAGTACTATTTCCAGGGAGATTTTTTTGTTTCAAGTATGACCAAAAGGAGTTTGTTTTCTTTGTAAATTTGTCTGCACTTCACCAGGCACCTTAATCAACAAGCATTTCCCTGGGCCCAACAAACATCACACAGCCCATAATGAACAAGAATCCTGAGGCAATCAATTAAGATGTTCTCTACAGCGTTTTAAGACATCTTGTCCTGATAAGGTGCTGCAAAAGTGCAACTTTTGATAACCATTATGATTGAAGGATAAGGGAATGGGAGACCAAAACCAGAGGCCATCAATATGAAATAGTCATAAATTGATCAAATAGGGAAGTTAGAAGAAATTTCTTCACGCAGAGAGTAGTGGGAATGTGGAACGTGCTACCACAAGGAGTTGTTGAGGCAAATAGCATAGATGTATTTAAGGGAAAGTTAAATAGGTACATGAGGGAGAGAGGAATAGAAGGTTATGCTTGAGGGCTTAGTTGAGGAAAGGCAGGAGGAGGCTCATGTGGAGCATAAACACTGGCATAGACCAGTTGGGCCGAATGACCTGTTTCTGTGCTGTATATTCTAATGTATTCTGATGTATTCTAATGTTACAGATCTATCAGTTGCAGCAGTTTCTGCAAAATAAAGTGTTTCTTAAGTAGAAATTTAATATTGGATATTAAATGAGGTTAAGTGATGTTAAATGATCGTTTTTGTTTATTTTCTCATTTCTTTTCACTTTTGTTGCAAAACTGAGACTATGTTTTATTGGAAAATTGTGAAACATAATGAATACTTTTGTGAACCATATAAATATTTGTCAATAGCCTTCATAGGCCGCAGATCATCCAGAACTCTGCAGCCCGGGTCCTCTCCATGACCCTATCACCCCCATCCTCGCCTGACTCCACTGGCTTTCCGTCACACAGTTCAAGATCCTGGTTCTCACCTTCAAAGCCCTCCAGGGTCTTGCTCCCCCCACATCTGTGACCTCCTAAACCCTACCAACCTGCTCGCTCCCTCCACTCAGCAGGCTCCGGCCTCGCTCCCCCACTATTGGCGGGCGGGCCTTCTGCTACTCTGCCCCCACCCTCCGGAACTCCATCCCGCAGTCCCTCTGCCTCACCCCCTCCCTTGCCTCCTTCAAGACCTATCTCAAGACCCTCCTTTTCAACTGTGCTTTCGATCTCCCTGCTTCCCCCCCTGCCCTTCCCCTCCCCAACCCCGACCTCCAGCTCGGGTCTGAAACTCTGTCTGTTTCATGCCTGTTGTATAGCGTATTGTATTTCTCGTCTGTTGTGAAAGGCATTATACGAATGTAATTTTGTTGTTGTTGTTATAAACACGGTGTTCCTTTTGATTTATTCATAGTAAGAAAGATATGTAGAAAGCACATTTTATCACAAAGTTAGATGTATCAGAGTTAAAGATTACTTTTTTTGCATGTGGACAGTTGTAAGATCAATAATAATAATCCTTGCATTGATATAGTGCCTTATCACATCTTTGAGACATCTCAAAGCGCTTCACAGAATACACTGTAAAGTGAACTGACTGTATATTTTGTGGGTGAAATAATAAATGTATTTAATAAGTAAAATCATTCATGGAACATGTACTTTCTGACAGATTATCCTTTCAATTTTGATTATCCACTCAGCATTAATGATCAGTGATAATTCTTGCTGCCAGAGCAATTAAGAGTCAATCATTTGCAAATTGTACTTACAAATTCTAGCACTAAACATCGGTGTTATTGTTTTTGATCCTATCGGAAGCGAGCAATACTCACAAAAGTGCATGCCACACATAATAGCAAAGTAAATATATGGAACAGGCTCCCTTGGGAGACAGTGGAAGACGAAAGTGTTGATTCTTTCAAATTAGATAGATTCCTTTTAGGAAATAATATCTTGGCATACAGTATATAGTTTGGGACATGACATGTGCATGTGACTGCCAGGATGGAAGACAATAGCTTGGACGTCCAGCAATCCTTAGGTCCTTCTGTTCTTAAGAACATAACAATGAGAATTTATTCCAGAAAGAGGTGAAAAGCACCAATGTTGCAAACGCTCCCCTTCATCCTATCCCCCTGTAACTGCTACACCTTCCATTGAGCAGCAGTCTAATCCAGAAAGCCTTCAGAAGAAGGTTTAGCAAAAAATTATAAATTAAATAGTGTGTGCAGAGTACCATTAGAGATTCCATTGGGCTATCGGATGCTTTTTTGTGACATTATTTCCATCAATAAATTGACTAATCGAGCAGTTTCATGCCCTTACATAGACAAGTGAATCAGAAAAGAGCAGATCAGAACCTGATAGAGAAAGCACAGCAGCCAAACCTTGGGGTGAAAACAAATGAACAGTGTTACAGTGCTGCACTTCAGAGCACTTCTAGATTCTTATCTATAGAAGAAGTTACTGAGAAGTTACTAAAGAAAGCTTTGTTACACTCTATGAATAAAACAAAAGTCGCAAAAAAAATTAATCGCCATCCAATACCAAAAAAGGCAAATAATATGAACACTTCAATATGTGACCAGTCCATTCTGTTGCAATTGCAAACAATATTGGTTGTTAGGTCCAGAGTGCCCGATATCAAGGAAATATTCCAGTATTGTAACCAAGGTAGCATTTAATGCACAATAAATAATAATAATAATAACCCTTGCATTTGATTTAGCGTTTTTCATGTCGGGAGGACGTCCCAAAGCGCTTCACAGAATAGACTGTAAAGTGAATTGACTGTATATTTGTGGGCGAACGCGGCAGCCAATTGCGCACAGCAGTGTCCCACAAACAGTCGTAGATTGAAAATGACCAATTTATTATTGTTTTGTTTTGGAGGGATTATTATTAGGCGTGTGGAGTAAGGAAACTTGCCCAAGGTTTCGCCCTGCCTGGAATTGAACTCTGGTCTCTCGCTTGCAAAATACTCCCTAACATTCCCTGAGACAAGATTTACTTCTCTTGAATTCTCATCCCATCCAGCTGCTTGTTCACCACATTCCTCACCCTCGCTTCTCTCCAGAAACCCATAACGTTATCTTTTATACCTTGTACCCAAAATTGGTATTATTTGTCGGTGCATCTAACATGGCTATAGGTCGTCCCAACATATTCCAAAGTCAGTGGATGTTAAAGTTATCCTGTTGAATGCAGAAGTACAGTATTAAATCGGACTAACTCCATCCAATCTTGCTGAATATTCTTAAGTTTACAATTGCAAGTGGTAAATGCCTGCATGACTGTGGATGAGCACTAACGTTTAAAGAGATTAAAGCCTAACCATTTACTTGGCGACATATATCTTTCCATGTGCAGCACTGTGATCACCAGGAACAGCGGGTTTTAATGTGCGCCTATGTGTGTGTGTGTGTGTATCTGCTGTTGTTCAGTGAAAAGGATGAGCCATATCTCAGAAACCAGTGCTCAGCGGATTCTCATGGGATAAACCTTCATAGCAGTCGATTTACATTCTTAAATAGGGAACATCTTCGGAGAATGCCGACAAATGCAATGTGCTGGTCTTCAAATGAACTCTTTATCGTTGTCAAGTTATCAAGCAACGCCCCGCATATCTATACATATATACTCTCTCTCTATATATATATAATATAAAAACACCCATCGAAACAGAATCTTGGATTAAAACGATCGCAAGCATTTTTACAAGAAAATAATAACGATTCCAGATAGTTACCTCTGTCGAAATCACGTACTGTGCATATATATATATGTGTATATATAAAAACACACCCCAGCAGATCAAACGCATTCTCCTGCAAATTGCTGCAGTAACTAATAAGGGCGAAGACGTGGCTTTTGATGCTGTGAGAGTGTGCGGTAACCGCGGACGTCGCTTGATGCGGCGTCGGATGAATCGATCAGCAGCAAAAGCGTGACCGAAATGGGATCGCCTGTGGTATTCCTGTCCCTGTGGAGAGGCGGTGGGGAGTGGTTCCCACCGCGTCAGCTCTCGGCACAGCTTCCCTGCGCCTCGCGTTTCCAGCCAAGTTCCAGCGGCCACAGGGCCGGCGGTGGGGCACCAGCGGGCAAAGGCACCAACAACAACAACAACAAGATTCCATTTATAGAGCGCCTTTCACGTCGGGAGGACGTCCCAAGGCGCTGTACAGTTGGGTCAGCTTTGGGAGGGAAATGGTCAGGGTGAGGGGAGGGAAGGGAGCGAGGAGGGGGGAAATGGTCAGGGTGAGGGGAGGGAAGGGAGGGAGCGAGGAGGGGGTAGAGAGTCGGGAGGGGAGCTGAAGGCACGGTCAAAGAGAAGGGGCAAAGGCACCAGCGGGGCAAAGGCAACACTTTGCCCGACCACCCAGCCCGGCAGGTGATTTGTGTCTCTCTCTCTCCTCTCTCTCTCTCTTTGTGTTGTGGTTGAAAGAAAGTTGTGCAAAAATATATATATATATGATAAAATAAAAATAAAAGTGGCAATAAAAAGAGTGGCTCCGGCGAGAGAGAGAGAGGGATGGCTCCCGGTGTGGGATTTCTGGAGCTGTGTCACGTTCTTAATGGAAGCTCCCGAGTCCCCGAGATGTCGGTTTCTCGCCGGTGGCATCGGTGTCTTCAGGAGCACGGGGCAGGGCAGCAGGGGGGGGGGGGCAGCGGGGGGGGGGGGGGGGGCAGCGGGGGGCAGGGCAGCGGGGGGCAGGGCAGCGGGGGGGGGGCAGGGCAGTGTGGGGGCAGGGCAGGCAGGGCAGTGTGGGGGGGCAGGGCAGTGTGGGGGGGCAGGGCAGTGTGGGGGGCAGGGCAGCAGGGCAGTGTGGGGGCAGGGCAGGGAGGGCAGGGCAGTGTGGGGGGGCAGGGCAGTGTGGGGGCAGGGCAGCAGGGCAGTGTGGGGGGGCAAGGCAGGGGGGGGCAGGGCAGTGTGGGGGGGCAGGGCAGGGCAGTGTGGGGGGGCAGGGCAGTGTGGAGGGGGGCAGGGCAGTGTGGGGGGGCAGGGCAGTGTGGGGGGGCAGGGCAGTGTGGAGGGGGGCAGGGCAGTGTGGAGGGGGGCAGGGCAGTGTGGGGGGGCAGGGCAGTGTGGAGGGGGCAGGGCAGTGTGGAGGGGGGCAGGGCAGTGTGGGGGGGCAGGGCAGTGTGGGGGGGGCAGGGCAGTGTGGGGGGGGCAGGGCAGTGTGGGGGGGGCAGGGCAGTGTGGGGGGCAGGGCAGCAGGGCAGTGTGGGGGGCAGGGCAGTGTGGGGGGCAGGGCAGTGTGGGGGGGGGCAGGGCAGTGTGGGGGCAGGGCAGTGTGGGGGGCAGGGCAGTGTGGGGGGGCAGGGCAGCAGGGCAGTGTGGGGGGGCAGGGCAGGGGGGGCAGGGCAGGGGGGTGGGGTGCGGGGGTCTTCAGCTGTGCTTTGGGCAGTGGGGACTGTTTTGAAGCTGAGGGGCAAAAGCCAGTGTCCGCTCTACAGACTGAAGGTCATGTAGAGTCACCACCACCATCACCACCACCACCACCACCACCACCATCATCATCATCACCACCACAGGCAACAACACAAAGGATTATTAACTTCTTTATTTGGAAGGCGAGATTTTTGCTTCCCTTTCCCCCTCCCCATCACCACACACAATCCTGCAGCCCTCTCCCCCCCCCACTCCCTCTCTCCCTCTCTCTCTCCCCCTCCCTCTCTCCCTCTCTCCCCCTCCCTCTCCCCCCTCTCTCTACCCGCTCACCCGGCCCCGCAGCGAGGAGCAGCTGATAAGCGGATGTGTTTTGCATGAGTTCTGCACCGAATGGGCGCAAAAAACGCCCCAAATCGTCTGGCTCCATCTTCCAGATCGGCGAGACGACGAAGCGGCAGCAGCTGCTGCAGCTGCAACTCACAGAGGCTGAACCCACCGACAGCTCCGGGAGCATCGCTCAGCCCCTCAGAGCACTCGGGGAGTGCAAGATGGTATGTTGCAAAAAAGGGGCGGGTGGAAGAGGAGGGGAGTGGGGGGGGTGTAGGGTGGTGGGGAGGGGGATAACGATTGCTTTGATTAATTCTTAGATTGATTGATGCGCACACACACACTCACACACACTCACACAGAGAGACACACTGCACACACACACACTGCACACACACCCATCACCAAACCTCTTCCATTTCTAATCGCGTGCAAACTGCACCCCCACCCCCCCCCCCCCACCCCCCCCCCTTGACTTGCAATGGGGTTCGGCGGCCTGAGCGATGATGAGTGAATTGCAATGTTAATCTGACGTGTCTATTTATGGACGGACTTATCTGGGGTTGTGGATTGCGAGTTCGGTGGTTGCACATTGAATGAAGCGCTGGAACACTGAGCGGAGTGAGCTCCTGGGGAGGAGAGGACACCATAGACTCCCCTCTCTCTCTCTCTCTCTGTCTCACACACCCTCTCTCTCTCCCTGACTGTGATCGATCTTCGTGGTTTTGCAAAGGGGGTTAGCAGTGTAAACAGAAGTCCGAGGGTTCAGGAGAGTGGGACGTGCGAACATGTTGCTATTTTGCACATTTGTTGCCGCTTGACTCGTCCCCAACCCGTTTGCATTGGTTGCATTTGACGTGAAACTCAGATGGAAGCTGAACAGGTATATCTATATATCTATATATATATATCTATATATATGCATAAGTTACATTATAAAGCATTCTGCGATCTTCATTTTGTTTGCTGGTGTAAAGTTGATTTGATTTGTTATTATCGTGTTGGGTGTATATCATTCTTTACGTGTGTGTGTGTGTGTGTGTGTACATCACAGTTGGATCTCAAGCTGTTTCCCCCAAACCATTTGCTTTGAATTCATTTTTCCTCTTATGCATTGCAAAGCGTATCCAGAAAAAAAATAAAACCCTAAACCCGTTCCCTCTTTGATTTCTTTAAAACAACTGGTAATTCCACAGTGACCGGAATCTGTTCTTACAGCTGGTGCAAGACTTCAACACACAAGTGGCTCTGTACCGTGAGCTGGTCATTTCCATTGGAGATGCCTCTGTGGACTGTCCCTCTCTTCGAGCCCAGATGCAAAAGACACGGATCAAGGGTTGTGAGATGGCACAAAACGCACACCAGAAGCTCTCAGCTATCTCAGGGTGAGTGTGTGAGTGTGTGAGTGAGTGTGTGAGTGTGTGAGTGAGTGAGTGAGTGAGTGCCTTTGGGTTTGATTGAGCGACATGGGAACCCGAAAGAGCAATTTGTTTTACTGTACTGTACTGTACAGCAACTCTGGGAATCTCCATTCGCTGCGACCCCCAACTCTGGACAACATTGTCCATCGGATTTTTAGTATTTGTGCTGCAAAGATGAACGTTTTTAGTGCATCCGTGTAATCCCTGTGCAGATGGAGAACTTGAATCGTTTCTAAGGGCTGAAATGATGCATTATACTGTAGAAGAGTGGGGCGTTTCAACAAACCCACATCCCTACCCTGGTCACTTGCTCTGTGCTCTGCTCAGCTTGTTCAGGTTTGTATAGGTTTACACAAAGGGTTTCTGCATTAATGATAATTGTTTTGTTACAACCAGTCGTAATGCATTGCAATGCTTTATTTCTACGAAATACTAAGCACGAATACCTTAATTAGTTATTCTTTGTTAAACCCCGAATGATAGAAAATTGATTTTATTTCAGCAATGAAGTTGAGTCTTTCTCACTTCCCCACCTCTCAATTCACCTTTGCGCCATGTACTATTACTCAGAAGGGGAAAAATGTTCACAATCGACTCGAGTTTTTATAAGATAAATGCACGAGAATAAATGGAGATTTCAATGACAGCAAGGTGGGGTTACTTTTACATTAGTAAAAATGAAATCTATTTAGAGTGAGTAAATCAGGACTGTAGCAGAGGTTCCAGCTTGAACCAACCCTCAGATTTTATAAACATTTCTTAAAGTGGGATGTTCTATCTTTCAGGTTTTATTGTGCTGCAGTGTTTTGTTAAACATCATTCTTGCATTTACAGCACACACACCGGTGCCCTCATTTTATTCTGAAACTGATGTTAACGTACCCATCTATGAAGATTTTCAGAATCAAATTAAATGGAATATTATTACTCTAAGAAACAACCGAAATTTATTTTGTTTCTGTTTCGAACAGTAAATTTCCCTAAATGTAGAGGACAATTGAGCTCAGTGGGAGCGTATTTTATTAACCCTAGATTTACAGTGCTATTTAAATTTCATTAGTTTAAGATAACAATTAATTTTCATAAGTGTACAACAAGTGCTGAAAAAATAACTTTTGAAGAATTACTTATAAAGTTGTAGGAAATACCAAGTGTGAATACCTTAATAGCTATTCTTTGTTGAACCCAAAACAATAGAAAATCCATTTCTATCAATGAGGAAGTTGAGTCTTTTTCATTTTCCCATTTATCAGTTCACTACATGTTGGAGGAGAACATGTTTGTGGAGTCCTGTAGTTCAGTAGTTAGAGCACTCGACTTGCAAGCGAGAGACCTGGATTCTATTCCCAGCAGCGTGAAATGTTGGGCAAGTTTCCTTACTCCACAAGCCTCAGTTTACCGAGCAGTAAGTAGGAACCCGGTTGTTAGTCAATTGGTGGATCACTTTTCTGGGCATAATAATCCCTCAAAAAAAATGTGGTCACGCAGTCCAACACTGTTTGTGGGACATTGCTGTGCGCAATTAGCTGCCACGTTTCGCCCCACAAATATACAGTCAATTCACTTTACAGTATATTCTGTGAAGCACTTTGAGACATCTAGAAGACATGAAAAGTGCTATATCAAATCGAAAGATTATTTTATGTACATTATATTTCATGTTACAGTTGATTTGGTGCAAATTACCTTATTGCCAAACATAAAATATAATGGGCTTCCTGCTTCTGAAAAGTCATCCCTTGGCATTTGAAGCTAGACAACTTGGAGAATCACATCACTAGTGCTGCTCATTATCATCAGGATAACTGTATTTACACTGGAACTTACTTAACCAAAGCATTTTAAAAGAACTCAGGCAGTCTGCTCAACGACTTTTAAGTTCAAAGTGGGAAAAAAAGACCTAACTATTTCATTGCCTCTTTGCTAACATTACAAATGTCACTGTCAGTCAAAAGCTGGTGAGCAGAACCTAACAGATGCGTGTATAATGATCCACTGTTTCCTTTCCCTGATCCAAGAACAATGAAAGTAGGCGGCATAACACAAATGCACGCTTCCATTGCTCACAGAAATGGCCCAGCGTATAACTCAACAATATGACAGGCATAAAAAGTAATCAAAACAATCTGGGAGTAACAGATATCACATCTGGATAGTGAGAGTGCTGAACTGTTTCAAATAATAGGTGCTGTCTTTCAAAATGTTTGTGGTTAAAATTGTAGACATTTCATGCATTATTTCTGAACAAATCTCAGTATCCTGATTTGTTACTGTACTGAATTCTCTTCGCAATAATGTTTGTGTGTTGAGGGAGTTGAAGTGTTTATGTTACCACTCTAAAAGGTATCCGAGAATCAGAAGTGAAGACCAGAAAAGCATATTCATTTTAAAGCTGTTCTTTTATATATAAAAAAGTTTTACTGCTCTATATGTTGCACCACTTTACAGGGCATTAAAAACCTGTGTGAAGGTTTTACATTAAGTGCTGTGATACTTTTTATTGGACCAGTGTAGGTATTCATGCAAACAAGCTTTCAGATCGGCTTCACTAGATGGGTGACACATCTGACTAAGTCAAGAATTAGAAAATGCAGAATTCCATTGGTCTTTCATAAATTGTTTAAATATTTTCCATTCTTTCTTGATTTGGTAAACTATAACTTTTTAAAAAATGTGTATTTTAACTTTCCTGATTTGTGACCTAATGCAAAGAAATACAATATATATATATATAAATTTATATATTCACAATATATATCACCCATAAAATGCACAGTCACTACACTTTACAGTATTTCCTCTGAAGCGCTTGAGACATCTCAATGCCAATTTGTACTTAATTATGAAGAGTTTTGTGGTGTAATTCTGCCCCCACTGAGAGTTGACACAACCAGAATTAATTCTTCAAAGAACCTTCACTGCCAGCAGGAAGAGAAGACTTTCCAAAAAGCTTCCGTTGAATTTATATTCATTTATTTTTGGTCAGCCGGGTGTCCTTACACATGCGGAAACCCATCACTATGCTTAAGAGTATTCAAACCAAACAGAGAATTCCACGCATCCCACCTGCACATGGAAATCCCAGCGATAGATTATTGGAATGGAATGCACACTCTCAGTTACATTCAGATCCCAGAAGTGAAAGGACAGTGTAGTCAATCCACTAGGAAATTCAAGGCCCTTTTTATTTAAAGTTACATTTTTTAAAAAAAAAATCTGTTATAATTAATATTTCAGAAAATATACACCTGTAAAAATATACCTTTAACAAATGATTAATTTCTTGCATATATGAGGTTACGAAAATAACATTTGAATTGTGAAAGAACACAGAATTTTAAAAAAATCTTTTATTTGAGAGCTAAAATATTCAGGAGATAATTCAACATTTAGCAGAGCAATGATAATTGAATGTAACCATATACCACTCTTATTTATTGTGAACTTGAGACTGGTAAGTGGTTTTACTTATCCAGACTTGATCTTAACAAGGCTTTGGTGACTCTTATGGCTGCAATAGAATTTGAGCCATGGATTTTTTTTCAGACTACATGGCAGTGTCATGCGTTTTAAAAAGGAAAGGTGTTAAGTGCGGTTCCTGAGATCTGTTGCTTGCCAATCACAATACACTGTATCACACTCCTGAACATGAACAATATTTTTAATAGTTGTAAAATCTGTTCAAATAAAATGGATTTTTTTAATGATTGTGTGGTAGATTCTGTAGCCTCAAAAAATCAATTTAAGCTGTTCTTTGAGTTTGCGATCATTGTGATGTGGAAGTATAATTAGTTATTTCCACAATTATGTCTCCATAAGACATAAAAATAGAAAGTCTCAAATAGAAACCCGTAATAACAGGAGTTAGGAAGGCCTTGTAATTATGAAGGTCTTTCGCTTGTGCAGAAAATAAATGATATTTTTAGCTCTATTTTATGCCTTCTAAATCCCAGTATTTTATGTAATAAAACATCTAAAATGAAATGTTGAATTAAGGCAGAATACATGATATTTCATTTATCTAATATATGTAGGACGGCAAAACTGTATTACACCACCTCTACAGGTACAATTGAGAGGTTACATTTCCAGGATAAAGCTACTATGGTAAGGGGTGTCGCTTAAGGTGCTACTAAACAACCAGTAAACCTTCTTCATGTTGTTTTTCTTTAAAAGATTTTACTGCTGGTGTAAGAGCTCCATCTATAGGGAGGTATTAAATTAAGCAACAGGGTACAGATAGAAAATATGCTATCAGTATTTCTAAAGCAACAACACACTACCCCAGTTTCTAAAACATGAACAAGTTACCCCAATCCAAATAATTACAAGTTCAATTTTAAAACAAATTTCTTCCATGAATTCCATTAGTTAGCATTACTGATATTCACAGTAACAGTAAACATTTTAGGCGTTAGTAAGATTTTGGCCCATTTCGCCTACCCATTGAATTTGTTACACTGTTTGTTCAATATGTCTAATTATCTTTAGATTGAATAAATGTGAATGTTTTTAGATCACAGTAACTTGTCTGCTTTAAGACTATTTTGTCTTAAGATTTAAGATTGCTCAGAATTGTGTCTAATTCTTAAATTCAGCGCTAATTTGAAAGTTGGATCTTTAAGAACTGGAAAAACGCAACTTCCAAATGAAGGCTGATTTTTTTCATAAGTTTGTGACGATCTTATATTTTAAGATAAAATAATCATATGGTTGAGAGTAGATGGAATTTCAGACCTCAGGACTGGCAGCAGAGATCAGAATGCTGGAATAAGGTAGGATTGATATTCCAGAAGAATGATTTTAAATGGGCCAAAGTTCCTCTTTATAATTTCTTGTTCCACCATCTGTGCTGCTATTTTGCCCAGCACCATGGTACGTCCTTCCAACATGAAAGGCGCTATACAAATGTAATTTGTTGTTGTTATTGTTCCACAAGTCTATCACCCATGTCTCCTGCATTT